CCGCACACAAATCAATTCAAAGAGCCCTGGGGGACTGTCACAATCCCAGAATCCAGAGGCTGAACAAGCTCAGAGCCTTCGCATAGCTCAGCCTAACAGCACGATCCAAAACTGTCTGCTCCACAGGTCTCATCTGGGGCCACCTGAGTGACAGAGCTCCCTGGAGTTCACTGTCCCTCAAGCCGGGGGGACTCAAGGCACGAAGCAGAGATCGCTCAGAAGGTGGGACAGCTGGACAGTGTCTCCCCCCTGCCCTCCCAGGCCAGGGCCTGGCGCTCGGCCGACAGCGCTGCTCAGGGAGAGCAGCAGGGACCCTCTGGGTGCTTGCTGCAGCAGCAGAGTCACGACTCATCTTTGCACCAAGAGGCAGAAAGTCATTATTCACGTATTACAGTGGCCTCTGTGCTTCAGTTCCACGTGACTTCCAAGGTCAGAAGGGAGCCCAGCACAGAGATGAGCTCAGCTCCCCGGTGCCCGACACAGAGCCATACCTAGCGGGGATACACAAGTTCATTCAGGAACCATGGGGTTACCCCACCCGGCTGCTTCAGCACAGCCAAAGCACAAGGCAAACAGGAGTCCCCTGGCTTGTTTTGAAGTTTTGAGTGCTGCAGCCTTCCATGTCTTACTGCTGGGCCCTCATATGCTGTTTTCTACCTTTATTTTTCAGGTGGAAAAGCCTCAAAGCTGAAACGTCAGCAATCCCGAGGCAGCAGCAGGGTGTTCAGCCCACTGTGCAGCGGGTGCAACCCCTCATCTGTGCAGAGCGGGGCTGTACAGTACTTTGCTGTCTTCCCATTCACCCTCGCAGCTCTGCAGGTGCATTTACGCTGCTATTGCTGCAATCAGACGTAGGCCAGCTCGGTCCAAACTAGCCAGCTTAGGAATAAGAAACTGCAGCACGCAAAGCTCTCAAGGACAAGCTGCCCCAGATAAACACTCCAGGACTTAGTGGTCTCTGAGCTCTGTGCCACTGGATCTACTCTGCTAACAGTGCTCAGGCTTAGCGCTAGCTGGGGTCTCCCCACAGAATTTGCAGCAATAACAGCATACCCAGATAGCAAAGGCATTTTTATCTTATCTGTCTGTATTTTCCAGCTATGCACACACAGCATCGCAGAACCCTGAGCTCAAGTGCAGCCAAGAACCTTCAAGCCTTCGCAAGGGACTGACGAACAGCCTTTCCCTCTCAAGGCCAAGAGCCCTCCTGACACGCTACAGGTTCCTCTGACAGAAACAGCTACGTTTAAATAAAAGGAATTCCTCCCTACTCACACAGATTCTTCTTTTTTTTAAAAGAGGGGAAAGCTAGTTATGCATGGAAAGCAAAAAACAATGTTTTTCAACTAGAAAATAAAAAATACTGGCACTAGAAAAATTAAGGGTCGGAAGGAAACCTTTTGGGGAAAAAGTTGTTCTCTGCCCACAGCTAAATACTGAATGAAGCCACAGAATCCTATGGCTGAGTTCAGAGAACCTCTGAAGCTGAGCCAGCCTTTCGGCACAGGCATTTTTTTTGTAAAAGGAGAGCAGAGCTAAGCCCTAACCACAGTCAAACACAAGGTCATTTACTAGTCAGTCCCCTCAGGATTCTTGTTCAGATGGGCCATGCAGAGAATCCACCTCGCATATCCAGAAACACAAGTACCAGAGTAGAAAGCACTCTGTGCAGCATGAGCTTGGACAGACTGCCTGACTTTCAGATGCTCAAGACCAGCTCTCAGAAAGCTCAGCAGAGAATAATAGCTGTCTTCTGCTGGCAAGTCAGACTGCAGGTGTATGTCTCTGCTCTAAGGACACTAATGAAAGTGAGGACACGTCTGCTCAGGAGTCGAACCTAGTTCTGCTGCCAACTGTTTATATTAATGACCTGCTACTTCTGGCAGCACAGACTTTCCCACTGCAGTGGGCAATGATCCTCAGGATCCCCCCTAGTGCTTCAAAGGCTCTTCCTGGGAACATCAGCCAGACAAGTGAGGGAGATGCTCCTGTGTGGAGCAGCTAGGATCTACACCAGGAGAAACAGGGATTACCTGAGCCAGGGCTGTGGACTCTATCAGTGCCCAGAACTCTGCTCATCATCACCTAGCATGAGGAGGGTGTTTGGAACAAAGCAGAGATAAGGTCCAACATAGCTACTGGATAAAAGCCTACCTGACCCATCACATCTTCATCGTAGGACAGCGTTAAGCCCAAGTCACTGATATCACCATCGTAACGCTAGAGGAAAAACAGAGAAAGGGAAAGAAGGTCAGTGTTTAGCAGCGGGAACAGCAGCTCTGCATTTTTGTATTAATCTTCCACTAAGTGATCGCCAGCAGGCACGAGGCACCAAAGCGTAACAAATACATGAGTCGCTCTAGGTTATGGGGAGACTGCACAGGAGCTAAGCCTAAAACTTGGGATTTCCCCACTGTCAGTTCCAGGTTTACACCTTCAGACTCCTTTCTCATCCCTGCTTGCCCCAGTAAAAACACAGGACTGCTACCCACCAACCCGCCTCAGAATCACCAGTTACTTCCAGGGTATTTTTAAAGATGATCAGTACCCCAAAGGCATCTGCAGTTCTAATATTTCTAGCAGCAGCCAGCGATAAGGCAGTTGAACAACAAGAAAAGTAATGCTCAAACCTTAATTGAAGTGAGATTTTTATAGAACTCCGAGTCCAAGGAAGGAAGTTCATCTACGGAGCTGTAGAAGACGCTGTGGTGGTGCCCAAGTAGCTGACTCAAAAAGAAGGAAGCAAATGGTACATCCACAACTATTCCCTACAGACAACAAGAACGCATAGGTAAGGTCCTGCTGCATACTTGTTGAGTGCAACAACATCTTTGGTTACCTATGAGGCCTTCAGGCAGATAATGTGTTGCGGAACAAGTGCAAAGATGCAAGACACTGAAATCAAGCTAAGAAAACCACATCCTCCTAAAGTCCATTAATTAGCAGAGAAGGTGCAAAAAGGCAACAGAGGAACTCCACGTTTCCTTTAAAAGAACTACGTTACTTGGAGAGGGCCATTCTGTCATCCCATCTTCCTTTTAGCCACATCCCTCTAAGCAACGTATCAACAAATGGATGCTTGTAAGGCGTAACACCAAAATAACAGGCTATTCCAGCTAGTGTCTCCAGCACCAAGAAGAATAGTCAAGATACATCCTGGCTTTTATCTCCAAAATTATTTTTAATACATGCCTGAAGAAGTGCCAAACTGCTCGACCATCAATATCTTCATGAGACATTTTTTCAAACTCACCTCTTCAGTAACACCTCCCCAAGCATGTGACAGATGCTCTCAAAGGCAAGGGGCACCACCACAGAACTGCTTCTGAACAGTGCTATACCAACAGGGACAATATCCTAACGTGGCACTGTCGGCTCACCTCATATACAGCCTTCCCAAGCATCTTCCCCACAAACTCAAAGAGCTGTAGGTAGTTCTCATGGATGTAGGATGTTGGGGATGGATACAACCTCTCATCACCACTGGTTGTCTGTACACAAATAGAGGTAACAGTACAGTGAGCCAGTCTGCTTCTCTCTGCAGTGGGTCATTGCAGTCAGCATCTGCAGCCCCGTGCCATACCTTGAACAAGTTGAGTGCGGGGTCAAACACCTTCTTTATTATCTCTTCCAAAAACTCTTTGAAGACACCATCTTGATCGATACCAGCCTCATCGACACCCAGATCATTCACAAACTTCACTCTGATCACTCCCTTCATGGCATTCTGGGAAAGCTGCCGTAGCTGTTCATATCCGTCCTACACAGACCAGAAGAGCCAGAGGACAATCACACAGGCAGACGTGTGAAACACCCCCACAGGCACGCAGCAGTGATGGGAGGCAGACACAACACAGAAATCTGCATTTGCCATTGAATTTGGTATCCAAAAAGACCAGCATTTTTCCTAGTCAGCACTCCAGGTTTGTAGCAGTCTGAACTGAGCTAAGGTCCAGCATTTTCCTGTAACATCACTTCATACAAAAGCAGGCAGACCTGGCACTGGGTCCCTCAGCACCCACAGAGAAGATAAAAGCATATTCACACCCCATTCTTGTCAGGTCACGTTACTGGCTTTTTTTTTTGGCGGCGGATAGTGATGTGTGTGACATGAGGCGACGCGGAGCTGGTTTCAACCAGCCCAAGCTTCTCCTTCTCCTTTGTAACCATATTTCGGAAAAGCAGCACCCTCTTAAAGAGAAAACAAACGTAAATCTTCATCCACAAGATCCTTACCCTCCAGTGCAGCAGGGCTTTCAGATGCTCCTGACGCATGCCCAGAACTAGCTCTTGGTTGTCCTATTCCCAGCTAGGCCCAACAATGCCACTGTCACCTACTCACTGGGAAAGTGATATAGAAATAGTGGGATCTGCCTCCTTGTTCCCCAGTGGGGCAGAAAAATCCTTGAAGCTCTGCTTTGGGAGGGACAGGGTACTGACAACACTGAAGACAAAAGCACCTTTCCTATCACTACATAAAAATCTGTCATCTCTGCAGATTTACTACCTGCAAAAAGACACTCTGCTTTCTGCACAAAGACTTTCTCCAAAGCCACATCATGCACTGCTGGTTGACTCTGTGCAGCTGCCCACACAAATAAACTCTCCCTCAATGAGAGAAATCAAGACAGTTTAGAGGAAATATATTGGAGATGGGGGGAAGAGGAGAAGGCTGTTGTTTAACTGGCATTTCAATCACAAGCTGCATGTCACAAAATGCTCAAGACATGTCCCTTCCATCCCATGCCACCCAGGTCACTGGCTTTTCAACTTCCATCCTCTGTCCTTGTCCTACTCACATTCTTGTGGGGAATGACATGCGGGATGTACTGCAGGAGCAGCTGGGCTCGTTTCTTGTCCTTGTCCAGCTCCTGGAAGAGCACGCTGGGTTTGAGGTCCCTTACAAAGAAAGGCACAGATTCAGAGATCCCTGAGAAATGCCAAGGTGTGGTAAATAGCTGGGGGTAGGAGAGAGAGGAAACCTGTAATGATTTCAAAGACGACTTAAGTGCTCAGGTGTACACATCTAAGAAGGCCAGAGACACTCAAGCTGTTAGGTGCTGAGTCAGTTTTCAAAGCATCACCCTCCATGAGCAGCAGCTAATCCTTACACCACAGAAGAGAAGCACAATAGGAGGGGCATCCTTAAATGCAAACATAGGGAGCAGTTCTGACCTCGACCTCAGGTTGAATGAGAGGCACTCAATTTAAAGTAAGGGATCCCAAACCAGCCACCCACCGGGGAGTTGAACGCTTACTTGCGTAACCAGTGATCCTCGGGAGCAAAACGCCTGCGGCAGTCCCTTTCATACAAGACCATGAGCCAGCCATGGACAGAATGAAACAGCTCCAGGGTCTCCCCTCTGGCATTCTCTGAACAAAAGGAACAAAGCAGCGATGTCCAGGCACCCTAGGTAACAGGAGTGCCCAAGAGCAACACGTTGATCATCGGTCCCACACTAATAGGGCAGGTCTATTTCTCCTAACCTCTGCTGCCTTCAGAGGGAGAGATTCTGAGCCTCCCAGAAGACAGCCAGCCATCTCAGCCAGCTCCAACCAAGCCGTCACAAGACAAATGGACTATCTCATCAAATTGCCAGAATTGAGCTGTGTCCAAATTATACCAGCATATAGACCAACACTAGGTCTCTATGGAGACCCTAGCAAGCCTGCTCTGCTTTGTCAAAGCACTGTATTGCATTTGTGCCCAATACACGGCCCAGGCATGCTAAACTTCGTCTCTGGCAAAAACCAACATGCCCATCATGTCTGTTATGCAAATTCTTACTGGAAACAGAAAAGGGCACAGTATTTGGTGCCAAGCACAATAGTGGCATCTGGACACCAACAGACTGGGACCTACTCTCACACCACACAACACAGTACGATTTTTTTTTGTGCAAAGTAATGATTAGCAGAAGCTTCAAATTCCAAAATTAATGCCTTTTGCTGTTCTAATAGTAACCGCAACTCAAGCTGCTAAAAGCACTTACCTACAATTCCATCCCAGATCATCTTAAATACAAAGGAATTCAGAAAAGATGAGATGGTGACCAGCTCTTCCAGTTTGAATGAAATCTGCTCTTCGTAGACTTCTATGTCATCAAGAATCCTATCGGAGAAAACAAATGCAAATGCACAAGCGTAAATTTAATTCCCTTTTGAAATTTTCATAAAGGCACATTATCCTTCAGCAGCAGCTCTTATTTCTATGACAACTGACACCCATGAGGATCTGAAGTCATAAACAACTAAACCTTATTTATTGATTTTGATCTCTATCTGATCCTAACAGAAGACAGTATGAAAGGGCCAAGACACAAGCCAAGCCAGTGTTTCATAGTTAAAAGGACCTATGCACTCACCCACAAGAAAACATTTTCATCATTCAGGCTAAGAAAACTGTCTGTACTGACCAGCAAAGGCAATTTTCCACCCCCTCTCCCATCCTTTGTGTTGTCTACGAACGAGACAGCAAAGGAGTTGTAACCAGAAGCACATAAGCTGGGGAGCTTTCTTGCAGCAGTATTATAACATTGTTCCTCAAAGGTTATCTGGACTCAAAGTGTTTGCTTTGGATGACACAGTTATTGCCCGTAAGCAGCAGAAGAAACGTTTCTTCCCCCTCCCTAGCCAGTGCTGCAATACTGTGTTACCAGTTCAGCCAGCTGTATATTCCTGAGGCAGCATATGGCTGAGGGGGAAAGACCTTTCTTTCTCAGGAAAAAGCTTGCTGCTTTACTCTGCCGAGTTATTTTTAGGCAAAGGCAGCAATACCATAACTATTCCTCTGGCAACTTAAGGAACACAACAGCTTCACATTACAAATCTAAGAGAGCACCCTCTGCTTGCTACCTACGTGATAAGGTGGCGGGAGCAGTCACAGAAGAGCATCAACATGGCCAGCAGCCTCTTGGATTCCTCCGTATCATTGTTCAAGCACTCCAAGAAGAGTTTTAACCCACCCTGTGGTCCCAGCTCACAGATAAAAGCCCATAATTTGGGCAACAGATCATCCAGGTAAGTGAGGCCTAGCAATGGAAAAATATAAAGCAGACTCAGTAAAGCTTGTTCTGCCTACTTGTTCATGCAGGCTCAAAGAGACGAACATGACTCGAAGCTGAAAGATCCTTTTGCAAAGCAACACTGTACTCGAAGGGAACATAAAAGCACAAGCATCACATTTGGCTCCCAAGCCTGTCTGCATTAACAGGAGATGTACAATCACCAGAAAAGCAGAAAAAAAAAAAAAAGAGCTTTTAACGAGGCATTAATCGTTTGCACATCTGAAGCCCTTTCACACTAATTATTTTGCAACTTTAGAAAAGAATTCATTCCTGTGATCCAATCACCATTACAGCCACCTTAGAGATGAGAACACAAAGACTGGGGTTACACCTGTGGTCACCACTATAGCCACAAACGAAGCATCCAAGGCTCTGGACACACTCCTCTGCACTAGCCACTAAACCAAAACAGAGCTTATCTCCTCCTCCATCCATTCCTAAGACAGGTAATTTGTTCTTAAGATGTACAAAAGCATTCAGTGTTTGCACCACACAAAGATTAATATTGTGAGGCTTCTCAGAAACACTGACTCAGTCTTAAGTTTGATATGGAGCAAGCTAGGTTTCATTATAGGAAAACTTGCTTCAATTTGTATTCTGGAGAGTTAATGCTTGATAAAGAAGTGATGAATATTATTGATCAGACGTATGATTCAGGATGGAACAAGCCTTCCACCCAGCCAGTCAATAAACTGTTGTCAGTAATAAAACTACCAACAAGTCAACAGAATTTAATAAGAAAAATCTATTTTTTCTCCACATTTTAAGTGATTTGAAAAGCAACGACGTGCCCTGACCTGTGAGTATCTGCAGACGGATCTGTGTTAGCGTTGCAAGCGTGGTTTGGTACAGGACACAGATGCTGCACACCTTCTGCACTTCTGCCGAGTCCACTCGCTTGCCACCAACAGGCTTGAGAATGTTGCGGACAGATGCAGACTTCTGGAAAGCTCTCTTGAAAAGATCTGGTGACAAGAGAAGCACAGGAGATGTTGGCTCAGGAGACAGAAGTGCTATTCCAAACCATTTCTTATTCCCAGCCACTTGGCAGCCATGTGATAGAGGATTTTAAGCAGACTAAGTCACTCCACAATCAGCAGGGTTTGGTGGACTTTTCTGGCAGAACACTGTACAGCTGCTCGCCACGCAGAAGAATATTTCAGTGGGGGCACTAGTCCACAGCTTAAAACCTTACTGGAACTGCAGCAACTAATGACCACAGGATCTAGTGCTATGGGCAGCAGCAAGAAAAGAGCCAGATTACAGCTGTCTTATTCCAAATACTCTTCTGCAGCATCACCATGCATCACAGGCCCACGAGCCAGCTTCACCTTGCTTTTCTCCTGGGAAGCTGGCCTCCCACCTTGCCTTGGGAAGTACTAAGTTATGCAGTAAGCACTTCAGCTACTTGAGAAACAGTGGAAAAAAAAAAAAAAACAACCTGCTGAAATAAGCAAATATTTTCACAGCACCAAAGTAAGAGACTTGCCCCAGGTCACAGAGGCATTCTGTGCAGGAATTACAAATAGGAGAGACCATATCCCCACCTAAGCAGCGGCAGCTGCTACAAGTAATTACTCAGAGCTTTTAGCATTAAGTGGAAAAGTCAAAGCCCCGTGAGTCTGCCAGACAGACAGACATACACAGACACACAGAGAAAACAAAAAAGCAACTCTCCAGAACTGACTTTTCATAGGAAGGCTGTTCTGAGGGGACACTGGCTGTGCTGGAAGCTGAGCTATTTCCTGATTCTCCAGCAATTTCTTGCTGAGCACATCACTGAAGAGGATGCGGATCATATGGACTCCCCAGAGATGCTGCAGTTGCTTTGTCAGCAGAGGCATGGACTCATTCAATCTGAAAGACAAGTCAGAAAGACATGTTAGAAGCAGGCTGGAATAAAACACCAGACAGTGATACTTTGGTACATTTAGCTCATAGTCAAAATGGAGTATGCACCCCCCTGCAGTATTGAGTGTACCAGTATGGCCACTGTTTACCAGTCTACACTAAATTAATTTCCTCATGTAATAGCCTGTGTATGTATGCAGCAGTTTATAGTGTGCAGATATAACCTGGAATATCTGAGAAGTTATTAACAGTCACACTGTTCATCTCAAAACGTAAACCACACTGCAGCATTAAAAAAAAGGAAAAAAAAATATCTTAAAAGAGAGGCTTGATCACCTATCACCATAAGGTCCTCCTCACTTACCCATAATCCACAGTCTGTGAAAACCAGCCCAGAACAGGATGCCAGTGAGTGAGGTTGGATTTCTTTTGTGAAACATACTTCTGGCAGTAGGAGAGCATGTGAATGAGCACACCCACAAAATGAGCTGTCTCCTCCTCAAGAACTTTATCATTCAAGGAGCCCAAGTACACAAGATTACCTGGCGGAATGACCAACACAGCAAGACTTAAGAGAGAAACAGATGCTGCGGCACAGCAGTTACAGACATAACGGACAAAATGAACTCACACCCCTTTTCGGGTCCAGGAGACGATTTCTGTGAAGAACGGCTATTAGAGGCTACCCTGCAGCAAGCCATTTCAGCACACATCAACCACTAAGGTGGCACGTCACTTTGGCTGCCTTCTCATCTGTACCCCACCAACACCCTCTACAAAGTACTATAAGCTGCAGATGATTCGTGGTTATTCCCAAGTTCCAACTGTAACTCTCGTTACTTTTACAGAAATGTGAACTTAGGTATTTCAGTAGCACACCCATTCAGGGAAGTTAGAGTCAAGACACTCAGAGTCCAAGTGAAAAGCTTAGCGGAGATAATACTTAACAATTTAGGTATGATGATGTCTCTGACCCTTCCTCTGTTTACAAGGGCCTTAAACCATGTTTGCAATATCCCCAGATAAATCTCAATTACTATTTAGAAATCATCTAAATAAGGATAAAAAAGTCATGAGTTGGAGGCAGCTCTAACCCATGGAGAATGAAGATTTGACTCAAAACTCTCTTCCAAGCACAGTAAAAAACCAGAAGTGTTACCGGTGCTTACCCAACAAACAAAGAGTGTGGCTTCCTTCTAGGCACACGCAGACATCTCGGCATTGCGCTTCACGACTTAAAAAAAGGATGAACTTGCGGAAAAGATCATGAGATTCTATCACCGCCAGACGCTGAAAGACAGAATTTAACTGCCAGTGAGGCTGAGGAGCGCCACACAGAACCACCACTCCTGACCTGCCATCAGCAATTTGGATTGTCTTTTCTTTCCAAATAAAGCAGCAAGTTGAGACTGTTGCACTGAAGAGGGTGTTTGATGCGAAGCTGGTCTAGGAAATAACAAACCTTGCAGGTGAATAGGCTGTGTTCTAGTTGTAGACAGACCTTTGCAACTGTCTGTCTGCAAGAACAAAGAATGCCTGTTTTGCACAAAACTTGCCCATCTGCACCAAGCTACACAGAGGAGCATTCAAATTAAATTAGATTAGCGGACAGCCTGCTAGTTACCATCACGGGTCCTTTGCCATGCAACAGACTGATTTTTGCTATGTCTCTGTCTACGGTTACACAAATGGAAGAATAAGGACATGCAAAAATTCAAGTTGTGTGTCACACATGTCTTTTCTTTTTATTTTATTTATTTATTTTAGGGCAGTTCAGCCCATCATCCCACTGCTGTTAATAACTTCTGTGGTATTAGAAACCCAGAGTATCTCGAGGGTGTAAGGACTGGGTGCTTCCACAACAGTTCTGGCAAAGAGAAAAATGCTGATGCTCTTTTCCAAGAGCTGATAAAACAGAGTAACAAGTGGCCTTATGTGATATCCAGCTAATTTTTGATATTATTACATCACCCACTTACCTCAGGTGTTAGAGTAGCAAGATGAGTCATTATAGCAGGCACAGACATGATATGGATCAGAAACGACCTCAACAGATTGTCTGAAAACTGTGCAGCAACCACTGGGCTACAGAGAGAAAAAATACTTCAGTGCAAGAAACCTGACCTAGCAATGTAAGAGGCAGTCTTTAACCAAACCATTCAGAACTGGCTGCTGATTCTACCCTCATCAAGAATGATCACTGGAAAAAGAACATTCACGTACATTTTTGTTATCACAGCAAGTTCACAAAATAGCTCATGACTCAAAGGAACATAAGCCAAGCGGTTCACAGCATAATGTATTTTTACACAGCACATCCGTACCACCCAGAGCACTGTAAGTGTTATGTGGTTCACCTCCTGAGTTCCCCTTCTCTCCTCACTACCAGGAAGTCAGTAATTAAATACTTGCTTTCCTTAGGAAAAGGTTAAGTGACATATTTAAGCACATCCACTGCTTCTCTACTGAACATCACAACCTCATCATCCCCGCAGTGACAGCTTTAGAGGGGAAATGGCACACAATTAACCACTGAAGTCTTAAAAGAATGCTCGTTACTGGCTGCAGATTTCCAAAGTGAAGAGACACGAGGTCAGGGTAACTGAATACTTTCCTTTTTTTAAAGGAAACAGACCGAATCATTAGAAAGACCTGCAACCAGCTCTTGTTTCAGGGACAAACCTTGCCCCTGCAAATCAAGGAATAGGTACCTCTGCATCAGCAGTTCATCGTGAAGAGGCACAACCATACTTATCTAGAGAACTCCAACCCCTTCTGGTGGTTCAGACAGACAGACATACGGATCCTGTACTCTGAACTGGAATTGCACTCCGAAGTCTAGACTCGTACTAATTACTGACTTAAGAGCATTCTGATCTGAAAAAGGATGACAGGGAAGTGAGCTATTTGCCTAGAGCAGCTTCTTTCATCATCTCTCAATGGCACAAAGAGACTGGCAGAATGAGAAGCCTTCAAAAAAAAAACACAATAAAGACAACTTTGGCTGCGTATCATCCCAAGCAGCTCTGGCTGCCTTACCGCAATGCAAGAGAGAAGACGGCAGTTAAAGAGCCTTTGGACAAGGAAGGTCTGGATCTTGCCAAGCCATTAGTTAGCAAAATCTGGAATAAAAAAAAAAAAAAAAAAAAAAAAATTAAAAAACCAAAACCCCCTGCAGTACTCAGAAAAAGATTATGATTACTCCTGAAAGACACTGTTTATTTTCAGAGCAGAGAAAAAGAACACCACCAAAGCAACCTAAAAACCAGTTACTACAAGCCATGTGGCAGAACTAGAAGAGCTTCAGGTTAATAATGGCATAACAGAGACACTGCAATCAAATCAGACACTCTACAGTGCTTAAATTTCTCTAGGACCTGTACTCAGGGTTCCCAGGCCTTTTAAAAATTAACAGGCAAGGCTCATAGCTGCCTGGTAATATTACTCTCATTTAAAAGATTATGAAAAATTACATCAGTTCCTTTCTCATACAGAACAGTAAACAAATCAAATGCACACAAAATGGCAGCAGCGCTTTGGAAAAATATTCAAGAGTGCTTTCTGTCCATCTCATCATGAGACAATGAAGCAATAGCGACAAAAAGGAGGCAGTGCATTTGGTCTCAAGTGCTTTGAAGAAAAATATGACCACACACAAATCACCAGGGCTCCACAACCAGCTTCTCCCTGACACACCACCTCAGAGATCACAACAGCTTCCTCCGAACAAGGACCACAGCGTAGGACCGGGGCTTGTTTCAAAGAAAGAGAAGACGTAGCTGTATCAGCCCGAGACTGACCTGCAGCACAGAATAAAATCCCTTCTGATTTAGATGTCCCATGATGTTTGCACAGATGTGGTTCATGGCAGGCCTCAGGGTTTCACCTTCCGGGTTAAAACACTGATGTTACTAAACCAGCATCACAGCCCCACTCCTTACAAACTATAAACCAGTTTGTCCATTAGCCCTTCTTGCATAAACTCTCTGGTGTGCAAACCCACCATTTTCGCAGCATTTCACTTCAAGTCTTGTTTAAGGTGTAAGAGTCATATTTCCTCACGATACTTGTCTACCTTTTCTATATCTATTTCCTACAAAAACCGGGAGCTAAAACCACATTCTATTGTCCCCTGAACAATTCTTGTGTGAGAGATTTTGGAGCATTATAAAAATGTTGGAACTGTTGCTGTTCCAAGGGAAATAGCCTGTCTAATCTCAAGGGAATCCTTGCTCCCCTTGCTGCAAGCCCAGAAGCATAACGAATCTTGGTGGTAAGCATGGGGAGAAGACAAGGTGCAGAAACAGCATTCAGTAGATTTTAATAGCAAATCCTGGATCGGTGGCTTAAACTATTGAATTGGATGCACCAACCTTTTCCCCGAAGGATCTTCCATGTAGAAGTGTCTGTGAAGGTGACAAGCATTGTGAGGTGCAAATTGACCAGTCTGGAGTCTTGCAAGATGTCAGGCTGTGATAACAAACACCAATGGTAATAAATCAAATTAGCTTTGTGCCAAACTACAGAACTGTTAAATGCAAGGAGACAGAACACAAAGAGAATGTTTCTTACTTTAAGCTGCTTGAGAAATTCACAGCAAAACCACAAAACATCTTTGATCTGCTTGATCCATAAGAGCGTAAGATCCTTGGAGAGCGCCAGTGACACATACCACACCTGACAAAGGCAGGATACAGACGGGAGCAGTCATTAGCATTTCTGCTACTGATGGGCAGAATACGTTACCAAGAAGCTTTGGAACAAAACAATCTCCTCTGTGCCCTAACTCAACCCAGCAGCGGAACCAAGTTATTTCTCTCCCCAGAATTCACTGGTCAAAGCATACCACCCACTGCAGAAAGAAACTGCCCTTTAACTCCTACAGCCGTATACAGAGTAAAAACATCAGAGGAATACTAAAGAACTTGTCCAAACTTTCACCATGGATCTCAGCAGTGTCCAGGGGCTTTTGAGAACTAAAAATGCAGTTATCACCAACCTAAATCCCCACACATACCATTAAAAAACCCCAAACAACCCACCCACCCCCAAAATAATTAAATATCCTCCTGACCTTGGGCTCGTTCTCAACATCCATACTATTAAGAATACACCGGCACAGCTTTTCAAATCTCTGGGGGGAAATAAAAAAACCCAAAGGGGGCATTAGTTCTAGGTACAGGTAGGACTGTTCTGGAAAAGCACTAGGAACAGTTCAGCAGAGAGATCAAGAAACCTCCGTAACAAAACAACAAACGTTCCAAACATATTCCCAACAGACAGCGCCAATGGCTCCTTCCCCGAGGGCGCATCTACACATTGAACTACAGCAATGCAGAAGAGTTTCCTCCTTGAACATAGTGCTCATCGACAGGAGGAATTGCTCATCCTTCCCTGCTAAACTGCCTCCCTCACCAGCACAGGCCGAAGCCAGGAAAAGCATCTTCCTGCTGGGGTTCAGCCAGAAGAGCTTAATGTCAAGGAGCGCAGCAGTGTGTTCTGAACTACCACTCATCATGGCTCTCAGCAGAACTTGGTGATTACATCCAGAACTCCTTAATTATTATTTCAGTCCAGCTGTATTTCTCACATGCTTGCAAGTGATAAAGCCATTCTGAGCTACAGAATTGGCTGCTGTGGTTATCCTAACTGAGAGCGGTGTCCAGAAATAGTGTGAAAACAAGTACAGCCTAAGTCCTCGGCCCAGCAAGGGACTGATTTGCTGCGGGAAGGGGAAAGAGAAGAGAAAGCAGAACATATTTCAGCAATGCACCCATTACTGTAATGCAGAACTTCAAATGGATGCCAGGCACTTAAAAGATTTCTACGCAATATACATTTTTTTTTTTGATGCCTTAAATACAGAAAACTGCATTTGTACCATCATCAACAGAAGAGTTTGATGGAACAGAGATTAAAAAAAGTCACCTACTGCTGCTGCAATTTAAATACTGCCTTTCATTTTCCAATTGTTTTCATATAATTAGCCCTCACAGTTTCCTGGGGCAAATACCATCCTTTCATAGACACTACAGCAGAGGGCTTCACACTGAAACCACAACTCAGGGCACGGTCAGAAAAGCAGCTGCAATACAAACAGCCTGCACACTGCACTGCCAGGACAGCAATTTGTGAGCTTGCCACAATGCACCTGGGGAACTGATGCAGCTGACAAAATCATGAGGCACTGCTCAATTACCGAGGCTGGCACGGTCATCAGGAAAAATATTTGTTAAACCTGCCCTGAATACAGAACTGCTGCTAAAAAATTCAAGGGTTCTTCTATTTCATTCCTACAGGCAGATCTCTCCAAGAAGGACCAGGAGACACAGATCATGTTTCTGAAGCCAAAATATATTGCAGGAACCTACAGGACCACTACATAACTAATTAAACATATTTAACTTGTTAAAATATGTACTCAAAAGAAGAAAAGCATGTCAGAGTTGCAACCTTTACCTCTTTGTCCTCTTTATGATTAAACACAAACAGCAGTTTCCTAGCAATTCGGAAGATAGAAAGAGCACTTCTTTTACTTGAACCAGATTCATTTGCCCCAAAGAAATCCTCCACTTCTCTCCTAGGAAAGAAAGAAAAACGAGCACTGGTAGTTAAAAATCAAGCACACCTCTCCAGATAAGAGCAAAGCGTGCAAGGTAGGGTCTCACACACCTTATCTCCCTCTGCAGGCGGCATCGGCAGAGAAATCTCCTGATCAAAGCCTGGATCTGGATGGCTGCACGCTCCCTCTCCTTCAGCTCCCTCCGCTCCTCCCGAGCCTGGCGCGCTTTGTCGAGGAACTGGGCTTTGGAGGACTGGCTCGCACTGAACATTTTTATAACCTACCAAAACATAAATTTAAGGAAACAAAGAATCATATCAGCAAACACCTGGAAAACTAGGAGCAGAGTGGACAAAACACACAGGCAAGGTTAATTCTTTACATTACTTCTGAACTGACTACCTGCACCCAACATTTTAATAGGGGAAGGAGAGTACCCAACAGCACAGAAAGAAGCACGTGTAAAACACAGCCTAGGCAAAGCGAAAGTTACTTGTCAATGGGACTGCAATAAGAAAATACATTGATATCAAACTATTCCAGCAAAGCCTGCAACCTAATGTGGGCAAGGAGATTTTAAAGGGGGGGGGGGGAAATCAGTGTGTTGTCATTGTGTTCCACTCCCTGCACTCCAACTCCCCTTCCCAACCTTAGTTGTTTTCATTTTCTTGTTTACAGATAACATATAAGAACAATTCTATAGCCACGGATACAAGAGAAGGGGCACAAGAGACACTTGGAAGCTAATTTACTGCCACTCAACAATACAAAATGCACAGAGTCAACAACAACTTTATAAATACTTAACAATGAACTCACCTGAGGGCTTACTTCTTCAAATAGCTGTGCGATAATCACTGACACACAAACATGATCCTCATCCACTGGCTTCGGGCAGCTCCTGCACAGACAAGCACGTTACCTGCAGGTGATGTGGGGATGTACTCTTTACCTTTGCAATTCTAAGTCCTTTTGACCGGACTTACCTCTCACTACACCCTCAAGAAAATGTGAAGTCAGAAAAGCTTCAGGAGAGGACAAGCAGCACCACCGCTTAGCTGTGACCGCTGGCACACGTAGCTCCTGGCACTTCGGCGTGGGGAAAAAACAAACCGATGCGTGACAAAAGCAAAGGCCAGCCTCGAGTGCCAAAGCCCTGGGCATCGGCGAGGCCCGAGCAGCAGCCGCCCCACAGTGTCTGCTGCCCACCTCACCAGAGGTG